CACACACGCACATACACACTCACTCACAAACACATGCACATAGACCAAGGCAAGGACTTCTCAATTTTGTAGCAGAAGAGAAGGAATCTTAGTATATAATCAAATATTTTCCAACACTTCTGGATATATAATTCTAAGATCTGCACTTAAAATATTCCCATTTGAGTCAATCCTATGTAGAAAGTATTCAAATATTGAATTTATATGTGGTTCAGAGAAGTTTGTGAATTATTACTTCAATCCTCTGTAAGATGAATGAGATTTGGTCTAATAAGGTGGTATAGTAAACTGAAGAGAAGAAAGATTAAAAAGTGCATTCCTTCTGACTATTTGAGTATTTTTATTTTTTATATTCTTTTTAGTTCACCAAATATATTAGGCAATCTATTTAACACAAAAAGAATTTTTCAGAATTTTAATAATTAAAATAAATGTAGAAATTTTTATTTACTCAATTTTAAAAAAATCAAAGAAACAGTGAAAGCTATATTTCAGAGAAAATTTGGATATTTATAACTTTTCTAAGTTGTCAGATTCAAGTTTTAACCTTTAAGATCCACCATCGGCTGGGCACAATGGCTCACACCTGTAATCCCAGCACCTTGGGAGGCCAAGGTGAGAGGAGTGCTAGAATCCGGTTCAAGACCAAGCTAAGCAACATAATGAGATTTCATCTCTACAAAAGACCAAAAATTAGCCAGTAGTGTCAGCATGTGCCTTTAATTCCAGCTACTGGGATAGCTGAAGTGGAAGGGAGGCCTAATTCCAAGAGGTAGTGGCTATAGTGAGCTGTAATTATGCCACTGTACTCCAGCCTCGATGACAGAGTAAGACTCTGTTTAAAAAAAAAAAGATTCATTATGCAGGACAGTGTGGAATAACTGTGCAGGTTCCAAATACCTTTGAGATTGTACTTTTAATTTTAAAAATTGTCTGGAGCCGGGCTCGGTGGCTCAGCCTATAATCCCGCGCCTTTGGGAGGCTGAGGTGAGTGGATTGCCTGAGCCCGCAGGTTCGAGACCCGCCTGGGCAGTGAGACCTCATCTCTACAATAAATAAAAAAATCAGCCGGGTGTGGTAGCGCATGCCTGCAATTCTGGTTACTCGGAAGGCTGAAGCGGAAGGATTGCCGGAGCCCAGCAGGTTGAGGCCCGTCCTCTCAACATTTGCCACAAGGAAGCATAGGATAAGCCAGGTCCCTGGTACATGGTCTAGTCCCATAGGTTGTAAGTGAAAGAGAAGATATGGGCCCTGCAAACAGGTGTGAGGGAGGATCAGAGAATCAACCCCATACTGTAAATCTAAGGGAAGACCAGTGTCTACATTCTGAATGAGAAAGATGAGATATACCATAGATTCTATTTTAGGGAGAGTCTTGTGCTGCAAACTCTTGGTCTTGAGAGGCCTGGTTCTTATTCCTTAGATTTTGGCAATGTCTGTTTCTCACATCCAAGTTCTGACAAAGGTTCATTGCCTTTATACAGTGGGGAATATGTGGCATATTCCCCTTGAAAAACCAGATCTCCGTTGATTAAAAACTTTTATCATCCTCAACACTGTTTTTCCCTGAGTAACTGAGTTCAGCTTCTTTCATGCTGCAAGAAGCTAAGCTAGTTTTTGTCTATTCATTGATCTTCTACTTCAGTGATTACATATCTTCTCTCTAGATCCAGATTTCTGTCTTCCCAGCTATCTGTTTTAGCCCAGGAAGTCTTAATCTGGGGTGCACAGAACACTTGGGAGGCTGGTAAAGTTTTGTGGGGAAAAAATCATCTTTATTATCATAAAACTTTAACTGAATTGTTAGCATTTTCTTCTATTTTGAATTAAGCAACAAACTAATATAATAGCAGCAGGACCTGTTTCCTAGTTATAGATATTAATCATAGGTATTTTCATATTTCACAATAGTTGTTCCATGTAGTTTTAAATAATATTTATTTGTTTTGCTACTTGGATATCAAAGTAGTAATGGACCTAGCCTTAGATTTTATGTATTCACAAAGAAACACATCTAATACTGTACCACAAATTTGATGTTTGATGTTTGATAACTATACTCCAATGTAATTGACTTCCTTAGAAATTCTATGTCTATTATTCTATGTATATTAATTTAAACAATAATTACATGTTATTTAATAGTTACTAGTTTGATAAACTAGTCCATGATACAAAAAATGTTTAGGAATTTCTAGTTATGTCTTTGTTAGCCTTTGGTTATACTGTACACCCAGAATATATTCTTGGCTAAAAGCAAAAAGAAAGTGGAATAGGGACTTATTGTCCCAGAATAATACTAATTTGGAGAGGTTCATTAAATCAGATAAAGACTTCTAGGATCATGGGAGAAAGGTAAGGAAAATATTCTCATATACCAGAAGTGTTTTTGTCACATCCATAAGAAATGATAATAAATATCAAGGCAGGGTTGTGCAGAAGAGAAGAGTTCTCAGTGAACTTGGAATATGCAGACCTTAAAGGCAATGGCCTGTGGGATATGGTCAAGAGCATCTGGGGCACCAAAATGCATGAAACTGTAAGAAAAAAAGTTCCAGATCTGGCAAGGGCAAAGATACCAATAGAGGAAAGAAAGGATAGAAATAGATGAAGAACTAGCCAGAAGTAGAAACTGGACAGGGACAGTTAGATTATGGTGATGAAAGGAACTTTTCTAGAAATAATAAGGTTGAAATTTGTGCATCTCTGCTTCCATTATTCCCCAAATTGTCAGTTCTGTCATCTTGACAGTTTTATAACTTCTGTGACCTTGTCTCTTCATTCTAAAAAATGAGGACATGTTTGACTTCCTTGTAGACCCTGGATGTTAGGCCTTTGTCATATGTACAGTTGGCAAATATTTTTTTCCCCATTCTGTGGGCTATCTCCCCACTCTCTTGATAGTTGATTTTGCTTTGCAGAAGCCTTTCAGTATGATGAGGTCCCACTTATCTATCTTATCTCTTATGACCTGGGATTTGAGGGTTTTGATCAGGAATATGTTGCCTATTCCAATTTTTGTAAGAATGTCTCTTGCATTTTCTAAGATTCTTATAGTTTGAGGTTTTATATTTAGTTCTTTAATCTATTTAGAGTTGATTTTTGTGTATGGAGATAGGTCGGGGTCCTGTTTCATTCTTCTGCATGTGGTCAGCAATTTTCCTAGCACCATTTATGGAATAGGTTCTCAGTGGTTGCTGGTGGAGGCTTTGTTGAAGATGCGTTGGCTAGGAAATTGAGGCTTTGCCTCTGAAGTCTTTATCCGAAAGGAAAAAAACAACAGTCCCATTAAAAAGTGAGTAAAAGACATAAATAGACACTTCTCAAAAGAGAACATATGAGCATTTAACACATGAAAAAATGCTCAACCTCACTAATCATCAGAGAAATGCAAATTGAAACTACACTGAGATACCATCTAACTCCAGTAAGAATGGCCATTATTAATAAAACAAAAAACAACAGATGCTGGCAAAGGATGTAGAGAAAAGGGAATGCTTCTACAAGGTTGGTGGGAGTGCAACTTTCAACCTCTATGAAAAACAGAGTGGCAAACTTAAAAGAATTAGAAATTGACCTTCTGAGCTGCCCAGTGATCCCCTCTCTGGGAATATATCCAGAGGAACTCAAATCCTTCTACAAAAAAGATATCTGTACACTCATGTTTATTGCAACACTATTCACATGAACAAAAACATGAAACCAACAATGCTGCTCATCAAAAGTGGACAGGATAAAAAAATATGGTACATATACATGATGGAATATTATGCAGCCATATTGAAGGACAAAATTATGGACTTCATAGCAACTTGAGTCTATCATACTGAGTGATCTATCACAGAAACAAAGAACTGAGCACCACATGTTCTCACTCATAAATGGACCCTGAACATCTAGCATAACAGTACAAGAAGGGATTGGCAGTAGCGAGACACTGCTAGGAAGGGAGGAGGGAGCACATAACACCAATAAGGTGCTTGGTTCTAATCTAGGTGAAATGAAGTTCAATGGGAAGTCCAAACTTCATCTGTACATAAACCACTTATGTAGTGAATCCTGATTTTTACCCCACATCTTTAAAATTTTTAAAAATGGGGGTAATGACAATTATATTACTAGTTATAGATTAAGTGAAACAACATACAGAATATCTTTTTTTCACATGGATGGAATTGAAAACCTATAAATGCCGACTTTCAGTTTCAACTTCAACATGTAAAGAACTAACAAGTCACCACAACAGAAACATCAAAAACAAAACCACTAGAGGAATTTGAAGCATCTCGTGGCTATGACTACAGAAAACATGAAATATATTCTGACTCCTATCCTGATTGACATATTGATTCACTTGCTCCTTAGTTTGATCACAAATCCTGGTTTTCAATGATTTTTGCTTCTTCAGCTGCCTCATTGGTAAGAAGTATAGTCAGGATAGACAAGCAAGACCATCCAGGGCAATACCCCAAAAGTATTCTATTCCCCCTGTGGTCACTTATAAATGGAAAGACATAGAGTTATCTGGAAGCAAAATCTTTAATCTCTTCTGTCTCTGCTCTCTAAGAATTCACCCTCAGGTATTATACTTTGACAATAAGACTGTAGTCTCATTGTAGGTTCCTTTCTACTCTGTTCAGTTCCTGAAGTAACCATGTATAGTCTTTGTCTTCCTAGAAAAACTAGGATCCAGATGGTTTTGTTACAATTCATTCCTCAAGAGAGCTAGAACTATATGAAATTCTCTGACTACAGCTTTAACTTTTTTTTTCTTGACCATGTTATTGCCACTCTCACCAGCTTTAACACAAATACATAAGAAAACTGTTTTGACCAACACCATTTTTCCTAACTTGGGCTTAGCTCTTTTCTGTGGGACTTTTTTGGAAAAGGGAAATAGGAGAGACTGATGTCATTTTGAAAGATGACGTGGAGTGAGAAGAGGGTGAAAAAAGTGAATGAACGAATACTTGTGTTATGGATAGAAGAAAAGCTCACAGAAGAAGGGTCTCAGGATCCAACACACATTATCACAAATGTTATGATCATCGTCACTGCTGACCCTCTCCTGACCAGGCTCCACCCCTGAGGGACATAGCTCAGCCTTGACCAATGACTTCTAAGTACCACAGAGAACAAGGGGTGAGAATGTCATCAGTGACGAATAAAAGGCCACACAGAGAAGCAGCAGCACATACCTGCTTCTGACACAGCTGTGATCACTAGCAAGTTGCCAGACCTGACATCATGGTGCATCTTACTGCTGAAGAAAAGTCTTCCGTTACTAGCCTGTGGGGCAAGATGAATGTGGATGAAGCTGGAGGTGAAGCTTTGGGCAGGTAAGCATCGGTTCTCAATACATGAGAATGAAGGGTAAATATGATGCTGGCAAGTTGACCCAGATAATCCTTAAGATTTTTGAGTATCTTTAATTTTTTGTCTGCTATGGTGTCATCTTACAGGCTCCTCGTTGTTTATCCCTGGACCCAGAGATTTTTTGACAACTTTGGAAACCTGTCCTCTTCCTCTGCCATTATGGGAAACCCCAAGGTCAAGGCCCATGGCAAGAAGGTGCTGACCTCCTTTGGGGATGCTATTAAAAATATGGACAACCTGAAGGGTGCGTTTGCTAAACTGAGTGAGCTGCACTGTGACAAGCTGCACGTGGATCCTGAAAACTTCAGGGTGAGTACAGGAGAGGCTCATATGCTCTTTTTGGATTTTTACTTTGACATTAATTGAAGCTGACACTATGATTGAAAAGATCAGTGAAGATCTCAGAAATCATGGGTATAGCTTGGTGTTAGAACAACAGACTTCCAGTGGGCATAACCAAGACCAACTTTAATTCAGAACTAGTAACAGTAAAGGGATACTAGCAGCCAGAATTTTCTTAAAACTTTTAGCAAGTTATGTCAACTAGATGTGTTTTTCCTGGATAATAATATTATAGAATCGAAGACTTTTGCAAGAAGAAATATGATTTGACTTTTGATTAGAGGAAAGCCTGTCTCAAAGAAGGAGAAATGTCTTTTATATGTGGGTCTTAATAGTTGATGATTATCAAAATAAAATTTTGGGGGGAAATATAAAATATTTGGGGTAAAAATTAAAAGATATTTTCTCAAAGAAATATAAGACAAATTCTTTAAAATATGCTAAATTTCCTGTCAGTATTCTGACATTGGTTAAAGATTTTAACTCTCACCAAGAACCCTTGTAGCACTGAAATTCTATGTTTATGGATATTAAACAATTGTTTAAAGAGAAAGAGAGAAAAGGAGGCAATTGGCAATGGTGAAATGAGGAGAAAGGTTGAGGATTTTTGTAGGAAGAATATTGCATGTAGGGCTCATAAAAATGAAATTGAACCTAAGCTTATTTGAATGTATTGTATAGCAACAAAACTTGAAGCAGTTTGAGGTCAGAGTCGCCAAGGATTGTAGGTATAACGCCATCTTTTTCTGCATCATGCCTATATTTCATCTTTTCTTTCACCTAATAGCTCCTGGGTAACGTGTTGGTCATTATTCTGGCTACTCATTTTGGCAAGGACTTCACCCCTGAAGTACAGGTTGCCTGGCAGAAGCTGGTGTCTGGAGTTGCCATTGCACTGGCTCACAAGTACCACTGAGACTTCTTTCCAGACGACTAGTGTTCCTGTGTTCTCAACACCCTCTTTCTGCACATGGGCACTGGGCTGGGACTTGCGAGCTAAGCTTCTGTTTAATAAAGTATATTCCAATCAGTAATCAGGACTGCAATTTTATCTTCCTCATTTTTTACTCTTGTGTCAAAGAAAAAAGTGTTTCATGGACTGAGGGATAGAGAAAGACATAAAAGGAAGAAATAAGAGCTTCTTTAAGAGGTGGATGGGGACTCTTCAAAGGAAAATGGATGTTATGGGAGGATTCTGGAGGATCAGAAGGATTCCATAAGAGCGAGTGATTTTTATAATGGTGGAAAAATAGTTAAATGGGCAGGGACTTGTGGGCATTGTGACAAAAACTTACTGCACAAGGGAAGGAAGGGGGTGGTATGTGGTACCTGAGAAAGCTTATATATGGTACATGACAAATTTTGTTAAAAAAGAAAAACAACTTTGCAGATATCCAAGATCTCATCTAGGATTATTATTTTAATTAGTTATAGTTTTACATTTTGAACAGGTAGCTTGTCATATGTTTTTTGAGATTGATTTGGAGATGAGAGGATACGTTGAGTAATGACTAAGAACTTAACAAAAAAAGTAACCATGAATCAACAATAAACTGCTCCTTCCAGAAAGATTTTATTAATTGGAAGCCAAGGCTAAGCCACATGAAATCACTGTGCTCTATCTTCTGATAGAATGTGATATATACTAAAATAAAGCTTGAGTTAGGACATAAGTGGAAACTTTTTTGGGTGAAGGTTATAATGAATATTTTATAGAGAAGATAAAATACTAATAAAACCTTACAGTCTAAAACAAGCAAATGGTGACCAGTGACTCATGTGAAACTGGCTCTCTGGAAGTAGAAAGCAAGACATATGTAGACAACTAGAGAAGAACAGAGAATGCAGGGACCTGACTATAAAAATACAAGCTTTTACTATGCTATTGGCAATAGTAATCAATAAATATTTTTAGGGTGTTAAGTGACCCAGGGAATAGATTTACAAGAAAAGTAACCTACTAATGCCTACAGAATGGATTCACATTTGCAGGCTAGATATGAATATTGATACAAGGAAACACATATAATGGTTTAAACCCAAGAGGAGCAATGAGCTTTTTGAAGCATGAAGGATGGGAAAAGGTGGAATGATGAATATATGGTATCTGACTGAGGTGGGTGAGAAGGAAGAAGAAGGCATTTGATAATTGAAAGTTCCCAGCATGAGTCACAATAACAGGAGGAAGTCATTCACTGACCTGGGAACCCTGATGTAGAAGTGAGATTAACTGAATTAGTTTTCATGGAGCGCTAGGATGCTCAGGGAGTCTTGATCTTCAAGTCCTAAGTCTTTCATATCAGGACTTGAGACCTTTAAATTTTCTATGTAACAGGGCCATATCCTGGCAAGTATCTGATTGCCAGTACCTCTATTAGGCATTTCATTGCTCCCACACATTGATCAGAATTTATCCTGTGAATTACTTTTTAATGTGGATATATACATATATATGTATATAGTGGATGAAGATATATATATAATATCTTCATTATATTTTATATATATATATATCTTCATCCACAATAGAGATGAGAGACCAATGATTATTTTAGCTGTAGACTGTCAATAGCTCTGGTCTCTCTGAGTCTTATAACTTTTCCATATACCCCTAAACAGAGTAAACAGGGTTATTCATGACACTAGATATTTTCACTTAGTCAGAAAATGACAGCAATGTGCATTTTTTATTGATACATAATATTTGTATATATTTATGGGGTATATAAGATGTTTTGTTACGTGCATAGAATGTATAATAATTAAATCAGAGTATTTAGGATATCCATTACCTTGAGCATTTATCATTTATATGTGTTGAGAATATTTCAAGTTCTGACTTATAGCTTTGAAATATACAGTGCATTACTGTTAACTATAGTCAGTCTACTCTATTATCAAACATTAGAACTTATTTCTTCCACCAACTGTATGTTTGTATCCATAAACTATCTTCTCTTTATCCCCTCCACACACATGCCACATTTTTTCCAGCCTCAGATAATTATCATTCTCTTCTTTATTTTCTTGAAATCAAATTACTGACCTTACACATATGAGTGAGAACATGCAGTATTTATCTTCCTATGTTTGGCATATTTCACTTAACATAATGACAACCAGTTCTATCTATGTTGCTGCAAATGGCAAGATTTCATTATTTTTATGGACAAATAGTAATCCATTGGATAAATATATTTCTTTATTCACTCATCTGTTGATAGACACTCAGGCTGATTTTATATCTTGACTGTTGTGAATAGTTCTGCAATAAACATGGGAGTATAGGTATTCCTTTGATATACTAACTTCCTCTTCTTTGTATAAATACCTAGTAGTGAGGGTGTTGGATTGTATGATAGACCTATTTTTAGTTTTTGGAGAAGTCTCCAGACTGTTTTCCATAATGGTTATACTAACTCACATTCACACCAACATTATGTAAGATTTTTATCTTCTCCACATTCTTGACAGCATTTGTTATTTTTTAATCTTTTAAATAATAGCCTTTCTGAGATGATATTTCAGTGTAGTTTTGATTTGCATTTCCTGATGGTTAGTAATGTTCAGCATTTTTTCATATACACATTGGCCATTTGTATGTCTTGTTTTGAGAAATGTCTATTCAGAATTTTTCCCAGGTCTAGGCAAATGTTTTATGGCTAATAACCCCAAAGACACAGGCAAAAAAAAAAAAAAAAAACCACAAGTGAATAAGACTATTTTAAGTTAAAAATCTTCACCACACACGCACATACACACACAAAACAACTAACAAAGAGACAACATATTGAATGGGAGAAAATATTTACAAACCATTCATCTAAAAAGGAACTGATATGTGGGACATACAAGAAAGTCAATCAATTCAACAACAAAAAAGCAAGAAATGTGCATTTTTAATCAATTAATCTTTGTTTCTCTCTTCTTGCTTCCAAATATTATTTTAGCTTTTGATGTTAAGGATGGGGATGATGAAATGGTGGGTAGAAAATATACGTTTTACTCTTTAGGGAGCCAGACATAAAACAAGATATTACCAGTCCAGGACAACTTAATTAAAAACAAATTCATAATTATGTAGCCATAGAGAAGAACAAAATAATGAACTTTACAGTAAATTGAATGGAATTGGAGACCATTATACTGAGTGCTCTATCACAGAAACAAAGAGCTGAATACCATCTGTTCTTACTCATAAGTGGGACCTGAACATTAATCACATTAGCACAAGGAAGGGATTTGTGTTTGCTGAGCACCTCCAGGGGAGGGAGGGAGGAGGAGCATGTAACAACACAAAGGGTACCTGGTCCCAAACTAGGAAGTGAGGCCCAGTTGGAAGCCCAAACTTTACCTGCCTGCAGTCTACTTGTGCAGTTGATCCTTACTAATTTTTTTTAATTTAAAATAAGAAAACAGACACGAGTCTGGATTAGAATTTTCATTTTATTTTATTTTAGATTTAGAGGGTACAATTACAAAGTTTTTACATGGACATATTGCATTAGATGAAGAATAACTAATTTTTGACCTTAGGGAATAAAAGCTGCCCAACCAAAATAGATTTGTGATAAACAGGTTATTCTCAGAATAGTAATCTAGCTAAAAGTACAGAGGGTTTAGAGATTATGTCATTGCTAGAGTTAAAAATTCTGTAATGGCTTCTCACTCCCTTCCACTGAAAACAAGTTTATTTGATTAGGTCTTTGCTTCCTTTTTTTTTTTTTTTTTGAGTTGGAGTCTCACTCTGTCGCCCGGACTGGAGTGCAGTGGCCGCTCCCGGCCACTGCAGCCTCGACCTGCTGGGCTCCGGCGATCCTTCCGCCTCAGCCTTCAAATAGCCGGAACTACAGGTGCATGCTACCATGCCTGGCTAATTTTTGATTTATTGTAGAGATGAGGTCTCGCTAAGTTGCCCAGGCTGGTCTTGAACCCATGGGCTCAGGCAATCCCCTTGCCTTGGCCTCCCAAAGTGCTGGGATTACAGGCTGAGCCACTGATTCTGGCTTGGTCTTTGCTTCCTTGTAGCAGTAGCACCTGCTATTCTCCACTTAGTTATTTATATATCAGCCTCACTGGTCCATTGTTTATCTCTGCTTCAGAGCTTTGGATCTACTACTTCAAGTTCTAAACTTTCATTTCCAATATCTTCCCATGGCAGATGCTTTCTCATCATTCTGGGTCCAGTTCAAATACTTCCTCTTTAAAGAGACTATTCCTGGCATCCTCATATCTCATACTTATTAAGTCCAGATATTAATGTTCTTCTTAGGAAATAAAAATATCTAAAATCATTTTATTGATTGACTTACTTATTAGTTTTAGGTATCTTCACTCCCAATATTATAAACCTTCAGAGGAAAGTTTTATTCTTTGACTCATTTATCTTAAATATCCAGTACTTAGAACAATTATGACAGTTACTAAACAAATAGTTGTTGAATGAATGTTTGGAAACTCATGGGAAAAAATGCTTGAAAGCACATGAAATGGTTTTTGTATAGAAAGGTCTTTTGTGAAGAAACAGCTTCATTGGTGAGGATTTAGTCAATGTCAGAAACAATGCTATGAGAAAAATAGAAGAGTACAATACCTATGAACAAGAATAAATCAACAAGCCTTTAGAAGATAATGCCTCAAAATCATGAGAAAAAAGAAGTGGTTATAGATGACTTTTGGATTATAGTCTAGGTTTATTTTTTAAAATGGAGAAGTTGTTTGGAGACATGAAAGATCACAGTTATCTTTTAGTTTGAAGAGAAACAATTAAGACTTATTCACTTGTTAAGGCCTTAAGAGGCTTAGACACCAGCCTGTGAGTTACCCTTCAATGCCAAGCTCTGCAAGCTGAACCTAGTTATATTACTGAATGTGTTCAAAGATCTATACATACATATATATGCATCTTATAGATCTCCTATCTTAAAAAGATTCTAACTTGGATTTTTCTCAGGGTCCATAATATACACCTTCATACCAATAAAAATCTCCTCACTCAACCTTAGCATGAGAAAAGTCATAAATTATTATAGCTATAACTGCAAAATAAATGCCCATATCTTACTGACCTTTTAGTCATCTCAATCAATCAATAAATATAGGCTGTATCTGCAATCATAAAGACTGAAAGAATCTCATCTATATTATTATAATTTTAGTCAACCTGACACTAGTAGATAAACTAATTTGAAGATAGAGCTTTCCTCTAATGAAATGCACAGGTAACTTCTTAAGCTGCTTCTTTATATGATCATGAACTCTGACCACAGGGAAAGTAATCAAGCCAGCTTTCCAATGTTTCAGTTATCATGATTTAGCAAAGTCTGAGATCGTGAATCTCTTTCAGAGACCAAAAATGCCTGTTAAGAGTACCACGTTAAGAGTATGGCATGTCAGAAACAGCACTGAGTTATAGACAAATTTGTCTAAAGTACAGTGATATCCCAGCTGTGGCTGTCTGTGGACTATTAGTCAATTAAAATAGTCCCTGCTTCTTTAGAGGTGTTTTACAAGCATAAAGGAAGGAAAGGAGGTGCTTTCTAATGTATACTTTGCTGAAAAGTGTGAACCTAGTAGACCTAACATTTATCAGAGGTTTAACTCAAATCCACAGTACTAGTATGGAACATTCCACTATCATCTTCACTGAGCATAGAAGAGCTACACCAAAACCCTGGGTCACCAGCCAGCATATGCACTTCTCCAGTGGGAAATACTCGTTATCTGGTGCCTATATCCATACCCTTGTCACACAAACCAATGTGTCTGCTCAGATGAAACAGACATGCTTCATTTTATACAGGTTAAAATAAATAGATACTGAGCTAAGGGTTCAGTCCTAGATTATTATTACCTAACGCCAATCTGTTCCTGCATGGAAACTGTTGCTTTATAGAAACTGTTTTCATGGGCCTATTGTAAACCAGAGGTTATAGCCAACACCCATGGAGAATGTATTAAAAAAATCAGTTTAGCACTTAGTCCTTAGAAACCACTGCTAACTGAATGAGACTTATACACTTGTCCCATGAGAGATTCTGGATCCAAAAGGAATCTCACAATCCTTGAACTTTTCAGTTATTTGTCTAGGCTTTAGTTTTAATCTACAGGCCTCTCTGGCGTTAGAAATAAGAATGTAGAAAAGGCTGACAAAGAAGTGCTAATGTATTCTATGGAGAAAGAAGAAACTAACCAAAGGAAAAATGAGAGAAAAATTGGTATAATTTAGTTGGAACTGGACAAAGCCTTTAAAAAACTTAAGCTGTAGAATCCTTTCAGAGGCCCCTTTCCTACACTATCTCAATGCAAACGTCTGTCTGAATTCTTCCCTGTCTAAACCCCACCCCTGTGTTGACCAGCCTTGCCTTGACCGATAGCCTCAGAGCCCTCAGGTGAGGCCAGGGGTCAAAGGTCAAATGACAAAGAATAAAAGGAAGCACCTTCTAGCAGTTGCACATACATCTTCTGAAACATCTGAGATTAGGACAAGCTCCCAATCCAGACAGCATGGTTCATTTTACAGCTGAGGAGAAGGCTATTATCACAAGCCTGTGGGCTAAGGTGAATGTGGAAGAGACTGGAGGAGAAGCCCTGGGAAGGTAAGTTCTAGGTACTGGAATGAGGGAGGGAAAGAAATATCCATGCCCGGAAGAAATCTAGGCCACTTCTCAGGAATTGTGATACCTTCTCTTTCCAACTTCTATTGTCCTATCTTATAGACTCCTGGTTGTCTACCCATGGACCCAGAGGTTCTTCGACAACTTTGGAAACCTGTCCTCTGCCTCTGCCATCATGGGTAATCCCAAGGTCAAGGCCCATGGCAAGAAGGTGTTGAGTTCCTTAGGAGAAGCTGTTACACATATGGATGACCTCAAAGATGCCTTTGCTCATCTGAGTGAGCTGCACTGTGATAGACTGCATGTGGATCCTGAAAACTTCAGGGTGAGTCCAGGAGATATTCACGCCCTCTTGCTTTTAGTCTCAGGGTGGCTGTAATAACTGAGCACAGATCTGAGCACAATCGAGGCCATCTTCAGGGTGAGATATTTTGGAGATGATAGGGTTGCCAGTATAGAAGCGCCAGAGGACTGACTGAGCTGAGACCAGGTGGCAACGTATTAATGCCTAAGGAGTGCTTTAGAAGTCGAGAGAGACAAGTTAACTTTGAGAAAAGAATTGGGCAGAGATGAGGAGAATTGCTTTTGTTTATTAGATTCCTGTAGAAAAAAACTTTGTCTTTCCTTTTATTTTTTAAAAACCCTTCTGGGGCAGAAAAAGAATGGCCATCGAAAAAAATGAATGTAAACAGGCATATATTATTAGATCAGTAGAAAGAAAGAACCTGAGTGGCCAAATGTGTGTTGGTAAGGCTGTTCCTATATTGGCTTGACACATGCACATACTGCTAGGGCCAGACATGGAGGCTCATGCCTGTAATCCCAGCAATTTGGAAGACTGAGGCAGGAGGATTGCTTTGGCTCAGGAGTTCAAGACTATCCTGGACAGCATAGCAATACCTCCACTCTACAAAAAATATAAAAATCAGCCAGGTGTGATGGCATTTGCTTGTAATCCCAGCTACTTGGGAGGCTGAGGTCGGAGGATCACCTGAGCCCAGGAGGTCAAGACTGTGGAGAGCTGTAATTGTGCCATTGCACTCCAGTCTGGATAACAGAGTGAAACTCCAATTCAAAATAAAATAAAGTAAAATAAAATATTGCTAATGCTTCCTTACAAACTTATATTCTATAACTCCAGGAGAAGGCAAAATGTCTCTGAGAAAGAGAAATAATTGGAGCATACAGGTTTGAAAAATGAGCTGTGAGGTTTTGTTGTTGTTGTTTTTATTAGTCAGTCAGTAAAAAATGAGGTTGTTGGTGATAAGAAGATAGAAAGATTTAAGTCCTGGCCAATGATGAGTTCTGCAAGGGAAATAACTTCCTGTATTTAATGGTTAGGCAAAGCCCAGGCTTTGAAAGAAGTTGACATAGGCTTGGTTCTGAGTGGGAGTCAGTGTCCAAATACCAGGAAGCCTGCTGGAGCTCTCTGCTTACAACGTGTTCATCTCTGTTTTCTTGTTCCACCTCCACAGCTCCTGGGAAACGTGCTGGTTATTGTCTTGGCACATCATTTCGGCAGGGAATTCACTCCCCAGGTGCAGGCTGCCTGGAAGAAGCTGATGTCTGCAGTGGCCATTGCCCTGGGACACAAATATCACTGAGCCCCCTGCCCCTGATATAGAGCCTTCAGGGACAGGCTTTATTCTTCAAGCAGTAATAACAACAATAAAACAATTCTGCTAAGAAAATACGCACGATTGTCTTTACTTCTTTTTTTCCCATGTCCTTTTAAATATATGAATCCCAAAGGATACTATGTAGAGGGGTGTATGGTGTGTGGTTGTGGTATGTGTGTATATGTGTGTGTGTGGTGCATATTCTTCATTTATTTTTGCATGAGATGTGATTTTTTTTAGGAGAAAATAAAACAGGGCAATAAAGGAACACAAACATGAGAGTTGTGCAAGGAAGAACAAAAGATGTGGGAGAGCTCTGGTAGGTAAGAAGAGCTCTATGAAACAAGACTCCTCTGAAATAGATAATCTTAGGAGAAGGGAAAAATGTCAGCAAAGGTCTTAGGGGCCGGATGGAAGCAGAGTAGCAAGAATGGGGCTTAATGGAGGAAGATTGTTCCAGGTCTTAGGAGGTCACAGTTCAGGCATTGCACTTCCTTTATGTTTAGTGCAACACAGTTTCTAAGAGTACCTGGTTTTTTATAGCCCTTGTGAGGCTAGGTTGGGACTTGGAGGTGTTGGAAGTCAGAGTAAGGGTAGTTCTTTTCCAAGTTAACTCCAAAGAACTGTTCCTTTCTTTACTAAGAAACTTTGGGCTTTAAACATTGATGAATACCTAGGGAAGTTTAATTGATTCGATGCCCTTTGGAGAGACAATGGTTAAGTGTGCTGATCAGCACCACTTTTCAAGGAAGACCCATCACTGTTGGGATTTGAGGATGTAGGTGGAAGAAAGGAATCCCCAAAGACTCAGAACCCAGCATCAGTATGCCATGTCTGAGCAACAGACTGGTACAGTGAGATTAAACATTTGTATACATTAGCGGGGAAGACAGATTCCCCGGAAATCTTATATAATTGGAAGTTAATGTATGCTTATAAGTAAGAGTTAATGTTGATGGTATTGTAGACTGAGTGTTTGTGACTCCCTAAATTCACATGCGGAAGCCTGAATCCCCAATTTACCTTATTTGTAGGTGAGGGGACTTACATAAGCTTATGAGGGTGAATTCTCATCATAGGTTAATTTTACTCACCAGAAAAAGAAGAAGGACCAGCCATTTCTCTCTTTCCTCCCTGTGAGGGCATAGTGAAAAGTCAGCCATCTGCAAGCCATGAGGAGAGGCCTTACTGGGAACTGAATAGGCTGGCAACTTACATAGTCTTCCTAGACTTCAGAAACATGAGAAAAAAAATTCTGTTGTTCAAACCTTCTAGTCTGATATTTTGTTATAGTGCCTTGAGTTGAGTAAGATAGATGAAGAGGGGAAAAAATAAACTTGGGTCTTGAGTGGATTGGAGACCATGCTAACTTCAGGTTTACAAATCTAAATTAGTTTTCCAAGCTTTGGTATAAAATATGCACTCTACTATTCTCATCTCATAAGAGGCAACTAATTAACCTAAACCCATCTCTCTAACTTGTATTCCTTCCATTTTTCCTTTAACATATTTTACTCTGTCCATGTAATGACTTTATATGCAGTGAAGCTCTCATTTATTTTTCTTTTTTTGCTTCTCAACCTCAGAATTTTGCACATGCCCTTTCTGTTTTCATGAACTTCTTTCTTCAAGCTTGTTTTGCCTGGTTCCATCATATTGTTAAAGTCCCACTTCAAATGTATCTTCCTTTAGACCAGCTATCCCATTATTAGTTTTATGTAGTCATAACACTACACAGTATGTATATTCTTCATGTCATGTAATACCATCTGAAATTCTTTTTTATTCAATTATTTAATTATGTGCATTGATCTCCTTTGTTTACTATAATGTAAGTACCCTTAGGACAGATAAGCTCTGCCTGGTTCACCTAAGATTCCCAGTGTCAAGAAAATGGATGGCATATAGATCTTAATAAGTATGTGTTGAATTAATGTGTGAATAATTAATGTGAAATTTTGATGATTATGATGATGACTGAATATTGATGTCATCAGGTTCTGGACCATAGTAGAAGCCGTGAGCACAGGAAACAGTTGGAAAGGGTGGAACCATCACAAACAAGAAAGAATCAATATTCTAGGAAAGTGGCTGTCTAGCATGGGTGAGAGGAAAGCAGATGTTAGCAATACCTGTTGGAATCCTTGTCTAGTCTATTGGTAGGATGCTGTAGCTATTCACTTACATGTAGGGTTTCTATGAGGTAAATACATCCACAACCCTACATGTAAGTAGGGTTCAAAAATCCCCTAAAATTTGGGATCAATTTTAGGCCATTAGAGGCAAAACTGATTATAAATGCATTTCCCACGTATGGTCAAAGTTGCCACTTTCTGCTTTTAAAATAATTCTCTTGGTTTTGCCTCAAAACCTAAGTAAAACAAAGTCTCTCAAGTATATTAAGTAGACTCAAAGATTACTTCTCTTATATAAGAAATTTAGCTTTAATATATTGGGTTGGACTCTTTGAAAAGTATACACAGAGGTGATTTCCTAAACGTTATTTCTTGTAAGGATTTATTTCAGGGAAAAACAAACAAACAAACAAACAAAACTAGCATTCTGGAGCACTAAATGTGACGACAATAGACTCTGAAAGGAAAATATAAAATAAACCATTGTTTCCTCTCCCACTGGAAGTCTGCCCTACCTACTTCTGTAATTGCTTGTTTGAGATGTGTGAGAATAAAGTAAACTGGGCATTTGTCAAGTAGAATAATCTAAAGCATTTCAGGCCCACAGCAGCAGTATCCTGTGGAAAACTGTCAGTGAAGACTGCATCTGCCTGATTAGATATGAGGGAAAGTTAAACAGAGCAACAGAATGTAAATCCAGCATATTCCAGAGATGAGTCATGTAATGCCCAGCCCTTGTCTTGGAATCTCCTATTCTCTTCACCGCACATGGAAGCACCCTTTTATTGTCAGCAATGAAATACCCGTACTCTTGGACACAAATTGGTAGATACAGGGCATCTGACACAGACTATTGTTCAATAACTCAGAGCAAATACTTGCTCTGATAAATAAACTGACTTTTAAATGAATTGAAGAAAACACTGTAATAATACCTCATTTTGCTTTTAGTTACACAGTTTTCCTTTTTATGCTCCTAAACCAATGGCATTTATTTCTATTCTAAAAAGTGATGAAATTGCTTTCTCAATGTCCTCTAAAGACTAAATGGAAATTGAGAAGGGCTGCAACTTGTTTCACATAAAGCCTGGCTGAATAACAGAATGATATAGCATCGCAACTCCTAACCTAGGAATTGATGACTAGGAGATTTGTAATTCTTACCCTCATTAGGTCTAATCTACTCATTATTATCCTTCAGATCACTGTGGACTAGTGGTGATGGAGACCTTGAGATATAAATTACATAATAGATGGTAGGGGATGGCATAAGATAAAAAGAGGAAAAAGCTGTAAGCTTTCAAATTAAGCCTGAACAGCAGATGCCCCCCTCAGGGGGCCACTAGAGGCTATTAGAGACTCAAATGTCCATCTTGCAAACTTTTCCTTGCCCGGACCCCAGCCCTGGGGTCACAACCTACTCTTGACCAATAGTCTCATGTCTATGGGGGAGAAAAAGGGCTGGGGGCCAAAGAGGAGTAATCAAAAGCCACACAAGGCAGCAAGCAGCACAGGCATGCTTCCTGCTCATCTGTGATCTCCAGTGGATTCCCAGACCTGACACTATGGTACAATTCACTGCTGAGAAGGCTGCTGTTGCTAGCTTGTGGGGCAAGGTGAACGTGGAGGAGATTGGAGGCGAGATCCTAGGTAGGTATACCTAGGAGGTTGCACATTGGAGGTTGGGACAGGGGCAGAAAATGTTCCTGAGAGAGGGACTATCCAATTATCTTATATACTCTGCATATGTTCTGCCCCATAGGCTTCTGGTTGTCTTCCCATGGACCCAAGATTCTTTGACAGTTTTGGCAACTTGTCCTCTGACTCTGCAATCATGGGTAACCCCAGAGTCAAAGCTCATGGCAAGAAGGTGCTGACTTTTTTTGGAAAAGTTGTTATGCACATGGATGAACTCAAAGACACTTTTGCTAAGCTGAGTGAGCTTCACTGTAATAAGCTGCACGTTGATTCTGAGAACTTCAGGGTGAGTTCTGAGCATAATGTAATGATTTCTTTCTTTTTTCCCCTTAGATCTTTGTGCCATGGTTACTTTTGGAAACAGGAGTGTCCATCTCTTGTATTATAGGGGTTAGCTGTAGGATATGATATTTTGGCAATGGGACTGATTTTTAGAATTAGGTTGCTCTAAATGATGTAACTAAAATTCAGTAGAGTAGGAGCAAAAAATGGTGAAAGACCATTTAACGTTTGATAGCTTTAAAAAAGCACATTTTGTAAAGAGTGCTGTCCAAAATTGAACTGAGTGTTTTTGGACTGAGGAAGAAAAGTTGAGGCAGGAAAAATAAAATCTTTTATTTGGTTACTAAAATTTTCTGTGAAAATTAGCAAATACCTCTCTCTATAATCCTGGAGGTGGGAAAAAAATCAATCAGGGCAAAGTAATAAAAAGCTTTTTTTAAAAGGATATTTTCCCCTGAGTAATAACGATATGCCTTTGCACATATGGTACAGGGTGTTTGTCATGAGTGTCCAGGAAAATTGTATATAATTCCTGGGGATTTATCCCATTTCTTACTGCTCCTTACAGTACTATAATCTTTCTTTTAAAAATAACAACGACTCTGAGTGAAAAAAATCAATCTCAATGTTCAGTGAGTTAGCAAGCAAGTAAACAGAAGATTGAACCCAATGGGAGGTGTGGGACTTGGAGTCACAGTGAGGCTGATGTCAAGCCCATAATGATGTACTTAATCTTGTAGGAGCAAGACCCTGAGGGTTTTTCATTTCCTGGTCAAGAAGAAAATAAGTATTGTGTCTATGTATTGCAAGGTCAGCTTGAGGCACTCTGCTTTCTGTGGACCATTTTCTTTCTATCTCTCCTCCTCCCACAGCTCCTGGGCAACGTGATCTTGATTGTCTTAGCAACTCACTTCAGCAAGGAATTTACTCCACAGATGCAGGCTTCCTGGCAGAAACTGACAACTGCTGTGGCTAATTCTCTGGCCCACAAGTACCACTGAGTTGTCTGTCTATTATGTTGGTGCCTCCTGGAGGGGCTTGAGTCTCAAGAGTCCATCTCCTTAAAATGGAGGGATGTGGGAGAGACAGTGCCCTGCCTGCAGACTCAGCACCTATAAAATAAAAATGTAATTAAAAATATACTCTGTTAAAAAAAATTGCATTTTCTTTATTTTCACATTTTAATTTGTTTATTGGAGGGGATGGAGAGCAGTTGGAGAAAAGAAAAACAGACAAACTTTAGACCTGCTAAAAGTGGAGAAATAATAGAACTCCAACTAGAAATGGCCGCAGGTGGAGGTTAGGATCCTGAGTCCGGAGTCCAAATGGCTGTGTCCATTTGATCATGGAATCAGTCATTACTAACACTCTGTGCCTGATGGAGTTGCCCCCAGCCCAGATCCTGCCAGCAGAACTTTTTTGAGTCTTGGCTTCCAGTCCTTGGGACACAGGAGGTTAATGGGGATTGGGGGCCAAGCTAGGATAACACCAAGGAATCCATAAAAGGAGATACAGCTCCCAGTTTCCCTTTCTGTGAAACTGTTGTGCCTTGAAGGATTGGCCTTAGGTCAGTTAAAAGGCCCAAGGGTATACAATCTGAGCTTTCAATGTCCAAAGCACTTATTTTCTAGAAGACGTTGATTTGATAATTTATAATCCATAGCACAATACCAAAAGAGCTAGAAGACAAAGAGATACCATAAGGGAACATTGCTATGCCTTATTAGTCTCTCAGTTACACTGACCCTCTGTCTCTTTCACGGCCTACTTGAAACTTGTTGGTTTTTTTTCTTCTTTTTTTTAATACAATCAATATTTTTTATTATGATATTGTGGGGTACAGTTAAGGGTTAGGTATACAAATATGTTTCGTTCAGGCACCCCTGTTGATAAGAGGTGTCTCCCTGTCCCCAGACAGATGTTTACTACCATTAATCCCCTCTCCCTTCCCCTCCCCCCCATAGTTTCCCACCACTATCAGTCATTTTCTTATGGTAATACGTTGGATGATCAAAGTCCACTCTATGAGTGAGAACATGTGATACTCAGATTTTATTTCTGTGAGAGGTCACTCAGTATTATAGACTCTAGTTCCATCCAGGTTGCTGCAAAATT